TACACACAATATATTATATAAATATATATATACACAAATATAATGAATTATTAATTAATAAATATCTTTATTTAAATATTAAGATTTGAAGAGTCGCACCACTTGACATTTTACATGCCAAACAAACCTTTGTCTTAAAAAGGTTAAATTATGTAATATTTTATTAAACTTTTTGACCTTGACACAGTAAAGAATGTGCAGTAAGGTACATAATATCATATTGCAGTAACGTCACCACAAGCACATATTTCCAATGAGCCTGTGTTTATTAAATCACATGACTTTGATTTTGTTGACAACAGTTTTAGCAAATAATATTAAGCAGAGAAGCAATTTTGTTTAAATAGTTTTCATTAAGAAATAATAATAAAAAGATTACGTCAAAGTACTTCAGTTTTTTGTTTTTGTTAAGAATTTAATTTTTTTTCTTTATTACGATATCAGGACATTTGTACCACCCTGATATTTTTATTTCATGCCCCCCAAAAATAGCAAACTGACTTTAAATTCAGAAAAAAAAATGCTTATAAAAAATTGGGGGTATTCAAGCCAATGTATATATAAATTGCTCTTAAGATATTTTTTAATAAATGAATAGATTCAGGGTGTCATATCATTGATCCAATGACAGATCTGCATGATTAAACCACCTGGACAAAACAAAAGACTCTATTACAGACTTCGCTCCCTCTCTTTTAGACGGATTGATCTGGTCACCGTATCTTGAACTATTGCCCCAAAGGTTCCTCTGTGCTTACACAGCTGTGCCCACATACTTCATGTAATAAACTAGCCTTTCATACACGCATGCACTGCTTCCACTTCCACCTAACATACACCTAATGAAACACTTATAAATGGTCTCAACCCAAGCATGACCTCTAAGTGACCTGGTACTGCATATATTACAGGGGTCACTGAGGGCACGGTTTTACTCAAGCATACGTGTATCATATTTACAGAGCGAAGGCGTGTAAATACTGCGTGTGAAAACCAGAATCAAATCAACAGCGGCATGAGAAGGAAAATCAATAAGCATTACAGATGCATTAGATGTGACAGCTACAATTTCATACACCACTTCCTGTCGGCTCCCAGCAATTTCATAACAACACAAAGAAAAAGAGACATTATTTTTTCAAAAGCATAGGAAAATTCATTTTGAAATTTGCTTTAATAATTCATGCCAAGGCCAACCAGGAAAAAAGAGAAATACTGATGAATGAGAGAGAGGTGAGTTGTGCCTGTCAGGCACTGTACTGATTCCTCTGAATTAGTGCGCAGACAGCAGGTTAACACTGATAATACTACTGCTGACCTTCATGAAATAAACACTATGTCTAACCAGCAGGCGCACACAGAGACTCGTGACAGTCTGCTATTAGGTCAACCACAGCTACAAGCTGTATCACTACGCAACTGTAGCGCAGAGGGGACAGTGAGCATCACTCTGATTGATCAGAGCTCTTTATCTTTTCCAAGCATAATACTCACTCTCACACACACATACTTTTGTGTTTTCTATCAAGATGGGAATTTTGTTTACATATACAGTACAGTGCCAAGGTCTTAGGCCACAAGTATTTTCACCAGCTAAAAAAATTGTTTAGTCATTTATTTCTATCTTTTGCTGTAGAGAAATATCAGTTTACATTTCCAAACATTCATTTTTCCATTACATGTAATAATACAGTGAGTTTTGTTTGCACAAGGAGTCTGACATCAGCCAGTGCTCCACACAGAGATCTGATCTCACCATTACCATCACCATCATCTCCGAAATGCTTCAAGAAATCCAACCTGCAAAGCTACCTGAAAAACTATGCACAGGTGTACCTAGGGCAAAAGCTGCTTTAAACGTAAAGGATGGTCACACCAAATGTTGCTTTAATTTAGTTAATAGAAGTTGTTATTTGATAAATGAAATGTATTTATGACATTATTTGTGACGGCATCCTCATTTGACAGCATTTTACACAAGTGCCTAAAACTTTTAACAGCACTGTAGCTTTGCAGGTAGGTCTCTTGAAGCATCTTGGAGACGTTGGCACAGTTCTTCTGGATTTAGTCTGTCTCACTTTGTTCTGTTTCTTCATGTCATTCCAGACAGACTGGATGATGATCAGATCAGATCTCTGTGTGGAGCACTGGCTGTTGTCAGACTCCTTGTGCAAACAAAAATCTCACTGGATTATTACAATTATTGGCAAAATTAATGTTTGGAAATGTAAACTGATATTTCCTACTGACACACAATTAGCAAAAGATAGAAATAACTGACTTTAAATAATTTTTTAGATGGTGAAAATACTAGTGGCTTAAGACTTTTGCACAGTACTATATATATATATATATTTCTGCGCTTTCACTTTTTCATTAATAAGTCAATGACGTGGTGCTCATTTCTTTTTCTTGTTTTGTATGGATCTATTAATTAATTTAAAACACTTATTTTGACACTTATATGTATTGGGAAAAGTTGCTTTGTCACAATTTGTATTAGGGAAAAATGCTATTCAAGCCACATTCAATTGAATCATATAGCTTACGACCAAGAACGGTCTACTTCAGGAAATTAGTATCTAAATGACAAGTAAAGAAATCAACTAGTTTGTTTTGTATGTGAATAGCTATATCTACAAGTGATGTGTAAGGAAAGCTGATAAATATATTGCACTACAAAGACAGCAGAGCAAAAGTTGTTTTTAAATACCTTCCATGCGATGCGGTTGCCTTTAGAGTCATGTTCCAGTGCGATGGGAAAGTCTCCACGCTCATAGAACTTACGGAAGGCAGTGGGTTTAGCTGGCCTCTCTCTGAAAGCCCCTGCAGCTGGAGGGCCCACCACCTACAGGACACAGAGAAATAAAGCCTGTTAGATGCTGTGTCATCAGAGTGAATGGCAGTCTGAAAACCATCACAGAAAATGAAATGGTTTTGATCCTCTTTCATCCCAATGTAAATCTGCTCTCTGTCTGATGTCAGAGGAAGCATCTATCTGCTTTATAGCGACACGCTACAAACCATCAATTATTCACAATGTCTGCCTCATATAATTCAAGTCTAGCAGTTCACACAAAGTACATATTAGCAGTATAAATAAACTGGTGCATTCGCCACAACATACAAGATCGTGACAAGCTAAAGAAAATTAAATGAGAGTTGTTTATTCGGGAACACAGTTGAACTCATGAAGACTCCAGCAGTGAGAATGTGGCAGCCCGGGGCTTTGCTCCAGGCTTTCGCATAAACTCTGACTTCATCTGAATAAAATCACACAGAGAGTCACCCAGTGATGCTGTTTTGCTTAATTGCTATTGAGCTTAATTGCTATTGGTTGTTCAAATTTAAATTAATGCATTAAGCTAATGGTTAACAAACAACTATGCTAATGTGTTTATATGAGAAACATGCTTTTGGCACAATAATACATCTTGAAATGCTTTACATATCTTCTCTGTGGTCACATCAAAGTTTATTTGCAGTAATGAATCAGTGTCTATATGAAAAATAGAAGTTGGTTGACATAGTCTTGTTATAAACATGAATTATGGGCACTAGCTGTTTTACTAATTTGGTGTTAGCTGATTTTGAGCTCACTGAATCAGTGAGTTGAACTTGAAAATTAATCGGACCAGTCCAATACATGAACAATTATAACCACAAGCAAAAATAAAAGACACTTTCAAACCAAGCAGCCTTCTGTCAGTCAACATGGCAAATCTGTTGCACAATCTGCATAGGAAAATTTTTTTCTCACATAACATTTCAGAAAGCGTGGATTCCTATTGAAATTACTACATTTCACCCACAAAAATGTGATGAACAACAGAAAACATGACTGTGTATTTAGCGGACATTTACACAGAATGTGTTTTTGAATTCCGCTGCACTGATTATCCATTGTTTTGTTCTATTATAAACATGCCGTGTTTGACCGTTGCATTCAGGTCTTTTACAGCATCTCATGCATAATACAGCATTCTAAAAATGCGCTCAAGTTCAACTTTCAAAATACGTTGTTTTGTTTTTTTCCATGCAACTACCCTGTGTCTCACGATTTTAACATCAAAACACATTCTGTGTGAATAGCTCTTTAAACTGCTCTAATCAAACTGAAACCAAAACAGAAAGCAAGCAAACCAAGCAAAATGATCCGATTGAAAAGATCTCAAAAGAATTATTCATTTACTTCTCTCACAAACTTTCATGAACATTCCAAGAACAATTAGGGAAGTTGTCACCATTTTTCAACAAATAATGACTTTGATCTGTTTCTCTCACAAAGCTTTTGTATGACTTCAGAAGACTGAATAATGACTGGAATAATGACTATTCATTTTTGGGCAGAATTTTCTGAAAATTCATATTCATATTCAATAGCTTCAAAGAGGCCTATGATAAGATTCAATCTGGTACACAATGCTTAGTAGTTCAATCATTTATTTAATGTTAAATAAATATAAATATTAATTATATAAATATAAATATTAATTTATATGGCAGCATAATCTTAACAGATAACATTCAGCCTGTGATGGACGGGCAGGAAGTAAATGTTCTCCACACAGTGATGGTCAAGTGAGCACTTATGTGAGTGAAGGAAGATGATGACAGCAGAGTCCATTCTATCTGCCGTTAAACCGAGAACACACCCACTCATCTGGGGAATGAGTTGTGAGTCCTCAGCCATCTCTTTCTATGCAAGCTGTGTTTCAATCACTGGAAACCGCTCTACCTCAGAGAGAGAGCAGCTCATTAATCCTCAGGCTGACTTCGCATTGGAGATGGTGCAGTTCCATGAAGGTGATCAATCACCTGCCCAAGCTGAGGCCACATCTCTCTCGCTCTCTCTGGGCTCCTAAACTGCTTCTGAGAGCCTCTGATGGATGCTTGGTGAGGGGCTGCAGCTCTCCGCTCGGGCAGGTGAAACCCGCATTAACATTTCCACTGCTCTCTCTTGCCTCCTACTCTCACAGGACACACTCCCCTGACAATATCATTCACTTTCTGATAATGCATGTGTGTGTGTGGCTGGTGACTCACCAGGTTTAAAAGAAAAAACAGAGGCTGCTCTGATAAGGTCAGACTTCACACAACCGCTGCAGGCAACTAAATTACCTCCCTTTATTCATGGAGCATTCACCTCCACACTCCAAACAAATATTCACCGATCCACCCACTAATACACATATACACACAACCTGAAGGGAAGGTCCCTTAGAAAAGTCACCCAAGCACCAAAATATCAGAGTAAGTGATGGCTCGTCTGTTTATCTATTTATCTGAAATGAGTGGTACAATTCACTGTAGATGAAAATGGGGAAATATGAGCATAAGTTGTTTGAAATTGTATAAATGTCCACAAAACCATAAAGGCTTTTCCCTCATTTTGCAACTTTATCTCCTACATAATGTTCCTAATTATACGAGACAGACGGACATTATATAACGTTTACACTGGAAGTGTGAGAATTTAAATGAGAACAACAGCCTTCTGTGATGGTGATAAAACTCTGAAATAACACCAATGACTTGTTTATTCAAAGAGGACATCTGACTTCACCTTTCTTCAGTGACATGCTAAACATACACTTCTGTTCAAAAGTTTAGGGTCTGTAAGATTTTTTTTTTTTAAGAAATTAATACTTTTATTACTTTTAGACACTGAAAACTAGAGTAATGACTGCTGAAAATTTGCTGCTGACAGCTTTCCCATCACAGAAATAAATTACACTTGGTATTAGTATTTCACAATATTCTTATTTTTTACAATATTTTTGATCAAATAAATGCAGTGTTGGTGAGCTGAGACTTCTTTCAAAAACATTAAATCATTCCCAACCCAATTTTTAAAGGCTAGTGTAGTTTTAACATAAAATATAAGCTAATAGATTTACATTTGCTGTTTGTTAAACAAATACAGCAATTTAGATGTGTTCTAATTGCCTTTAGCCTCTTAATTATCAAATGTGTGTAAGCAAAATCTGACATTTTGATATTCTTCTCTCCTCGTCTTTTCTTTTTTGGGGAGAATAGGAAATATGCAAATGAGAGAAATTAATTTTTTTTGCCATCAGGGGAACCTGAGCCTAAAGTCGTATTTAGAGCTTGATTTAACACTCCTCCCCGCCTGTAGCCTGCTGAATGCTAGTGAGTGTGTTGCCCCTGTGAGGAGCTCAAGTCACTCCTGATTCTGATGAAAAATGACAACACACGGGCAAAGACGCCAACGCTCACTGTGGAGAACAAAAGAGAACGAGGGATGAAACAAACATCATGTGTTCAATTATGAATAAGAGTCAAAGATAAAAAGCTTGAAAATGGCCACACAATGCTGATTTTCTTCAGACTGTAACTAACTCTTGTACAAAATCTAAATAAATTCATTTTGACTTCAGCTCGGCAGCATACTGTACAACAAAGCAACCAGCTTTCAGTCTTAATATAGCTGATCATACAGTACATAAAGATCACAGACATTTCCACAGCTCTACAAAACACAAATACAAGAAAGCAAAGTCGTAGTAAAAATATCCTCTTTCAACAACCCTCATCTGCATTTTTTAGCTTTCCTAGTAAAACTGTCCTCCATAATCTTATAATCCTATAAGCATCACCTTCACTCAGTGATGCCACAAACATTCACAGAAAATGAAGATGTTGTTTTAATAGTCTTAATCTAAACCTGGATGAGCCATGTGCTGTAGGAAAAGCGATAAAACATTTTAATAATACATCTGTCGTTCCAATTTGTACCAGAATGAGTCTTTTCTGTCCATACGTTTACCACACGGTACACTGGCACGAGAAATTAACAAAGGCTCGAGGCAAAAATGCCACTGTAAGTGATAATATTGTCCCAGATATTTCAAATGTGGGAGCAAAATGTGCAAAGAAAATATATAATGTATTTCATATTTTTTTATATAATATGCTATTCTAGGTCTTTTCTATTCTGTCTTGTTATATTATGCCTATAGTGATCTGTAGCAGATGATATAACTAAATGCCAGTCAATATGAATAAAGCAGTTGATATAACTAAAAGCCATAGAATGTCTTATATGGTTAGAAATAATTCCAGGAGGCAAATATTTCTACTTAATAAAAACATTTATTTCTAACACACTGTACACTAAACTGTAAGTGCATTGTGGGTAATGTGGAAAACTTATACAGCTGCTGCACATTCAGTCAATGAAAATCTGTCTTTGCGCATGAATGTACAGTAGTAGTGGACACTCTAAATGAATTAGAGGAGGGCATAATTGTGTTTCACACGCTACAAGCAGTAACGTTTGTAGCTTTTTGTGTTATGCACACACACACACACACACACACACACATCTGGTCACCGGTGTTGACTTTTTGCTGAGCCAGCTCAATGAATCAAGCACATTGATCAGTCTTGCCACACTTTACATTTACTGCCATGATCAGTAATCAGACCTGCATCTATTCAGGACTGTGCAGACCAATTTAACAGCACTCTAAAGAATAACACCTATGATTGTGAACCATCAGACACATTCTATCAGCACATTCACTGCAATCTACAAAGGCATCTGGACACCTTTAAGAGTGTGTATCAATGCAGATGTGTGTAAGCTGAGAGATTTTTTGACTGTTGGTCAGCAGTTCTGTTCAGATTGTTGATCTTATATTGGAACACCATGAGATTATCAAGCCAGAGCTGCGTTCATCGACACAATAAGCTCATAATGTTCGTCATCTTCAGCAGAGATGACAAGATACTGCATCTTTTGGCTGACAAACACTGAGGCAACATCCCACTGCTGATTTCAAGCTTAACAGCCACCACAAGTTTCATCAGGTGACAAAAAAG